GAGGGCGCCTGACAAACACTCGGACATTCGCGAGGTTCCTCGATAAGTCATGATCCTTCTAGAAACTTCAGCGCGCATGCTCCCAGAGTCGCGTGACTTCCGCTGTCGTAACAACATCTTTGCAAACGTTTAAAGGAAAACGGATCGAATCTCAGCTAGATGGCGCAACCTTACATCAACCCCAGCACCTAACTTGTTCCTCCCAGTCACAGTTTACCAATAATATAAATGGTATAGTTATACGATTTAAGATAGACTAGTCGAGGTTATGACGAGAAGAGAGATGACCTTGGTCAAGAGTGTATCAACAAAAATCTGTAATTTTGTGAATATAAAGGTTAAACTAATCACTGATAAGTGATTAGAGTTGGAATTATCTGAAATAATTTTTTTCTATAAATATAAATCATGATCTGGGGTTTGATTCCCTGTTAGGGACATAGCACAGATATCCCATCGTGTAACTTAATGCTAAAACAACAACAAACATGTTAACATATTTTTTTTATTCAATGTTTTGAAATAAAATATATAAAACTAATTTACCCAAAAGAATATCACAATTGAAAACTAATATATATATATATATATATAAACGCTGAAATAACTCGACTACGTGATGCAGAGGTTCATTGTGTATTTGTTATTTTCAACTTGAACGGCCCCCTAATGGATTACATGAATTTAACGTAGAATACAGATATAGCTATCCATAATCGTTGACCAGAGGGAGGGTAAATATTAGGAACTTATGCTTCTACTAACAGAATAGCGGAATTGTCTGACGGTTATAGTGCCCCCAGTAGAGTGTGTTCAGCAGCATATTGTGATTCGAACCTTGGATCTTCCGACCTGCATCTCAGCACGCTAACCATTAATCTACACCTGACTCTGCTAAGGTTCATAGAACAAACTTAAACATACTAATTTATTTGTGAGCTACTTGGTCTATCTTTGTTGTGCCCACCATGGTTTTGAAACCCGTGTTTAGCGTTATAAGCTTTCCGACTTACCGCTGAGCCACTGGGAGACTTTGATCTCTGAAACTGCTTAGTATTGCAGTAAATACAACAGTAACAAAAATAGATAACAAGCACCATTTATTGTTGAAAGAAGCTAACATTGACGGGGAACAAAAACTTATAACCAAGAGTTTGGTAGTACGCTTATGCAAACATGTCTGTTCAGCTTAATTACTTAAATATATGTACAGACATATAAAGTGATGTTTAGTTTTAAAAACTTGTGGATGACAAGGAAACTATTCGGAATTACTGAGACATTGTTCCATGTTGTTTCTGGTGTTAGTACAAATTGATTTCATACCTTTTTTCCTCGTGTTACGTGTTTCAATGTAAGTGGTGTTTTTTGTCGATTATAAACTAAAACATTCCATTGTTGACCAACAGATGGCATTGTGTTATCAAGTGGATGGTTTTGTTTGTTTGGAATTATGCACAAAGCTACACAATGGGGTATCTGTGCTCTGCCAATCACGGGTATCAAAACCCGGTTTCTAGCGTTGTAAGTCCGCAGACATACTGTGCCACTGGGGGGCTCAAGTGGATGGGATAATACCAAGCATAATTTGATAGAATGTTTGAAATTGTAATAAATTTCAGTCGAAAGAATATTTGTATAATTTTAAGTAAAAATAAAACAGGAAGCGGGAAAATATTTTATAAACGCATCTCACAAAAGATGATACCATGACAATGGGATGAAATACTTTTTGGTCGAAATATTCTCAAATTTTAAAACAAATATTGATAAATATAAAAATAGTTGTTAGTACAAATTAGACAAATATTTCCAGACATTGTGCATAGTTCACATTACTCCAAAAATTTCAGTTTTTTCTGTGTTAAAAGCACGTCCAATGAAGCAAACACGTTTTGAAGTAATATTTACATAAAATATTTCCTTCCCGTTATAAAACAAGTAGCGTTTCGTACTGAAACAGTTAGTTTTAAAAGATAGCTGGTCACATGACTATATTGTCGAGGGTTTCTGAAGATTAATAGTTTAGAGCAAAAAACCAAACACTGACATCAAAACGTCTTTCAGTTGTATCGTGGGAACGTGCTTGTCGTCTTTCTTTAAATGATTACATGAAGCAAGGCCGTATTGATGTGAGTTGTTCTTAGAAAATAACGATCTATCTTAAACCATACATTCTTCTATCATCTCATTAAATATGGCCGTTCCAGATTTTATTTTTTCATCAAATTTCTGTGATACAAAGAGTATGGTCGTTGAATACACCTGCATTTCTAGTATGTTTATTTATATACAGATATATATCTATGTACACACACACAAATACATGCGCACACACATGTAGTTACATCACTGTAGAGACATTTCATGTCATGTGTTATTTACCTGATAAACTAGTTTGGCTATGATGTGGAGAATGATCCTACCTTCGTTGTAAGGCTTCAGGTGAAGTCGCTTGTTTCACAGGTTTGAGTATACTGACCACGGCAGGTTTTAATCATCTCTCTGTCTGGGTGGGGGTGGGTGAGATTCTGGATATTTATAGAACTAGGAGAGCAGATACGAGGCGGCTTCCTCCCACTGTTTTCTGAGTCGCTACAAGTCTCTTTGCTACTTCCCTTCTTCTTAGTGCCGCGGCCATTGTGAGTCTTAGCATGCTTGCTCAGGTGGTCGGACCGCATAAATCGTTTGCCACAAATCGAACAAGCAAATCGTTTCTCTCCAGTGTGAGTCCTGAGGTGACGATGAAGCTCATCCGACCTAGTGAAACGCTTCCCACAGAACAACCAGTTGCACACAAAGGGACGTTCACCAGTGTGCCAACGAAGGTGAGCTTTGAGGTGAGACGTTTTCCCATACATCTTCCCACATCCCGGAATATTGCAAGTGTGAGTTTTCTTTTTCAGGTGAGTTCCAGCGGGTCCCAGCCTCTCAACTCCCTGGCAGTTAGGACAGTGACACGTGACACGCCTTGTGTACTGACGTTCATATCGATGGGACAGTATTTGTGAAAGTATGGGCTGGGAAGGGCCGAATGGTAGAGCACCCAACTCCTGAGCCGTAGTTATTATAGGCCTGCGCGTGTCTTGATGTGGGTGCTGACCAGTTGTAAGTAGATGACCTGTGATCGTGGCTGCTACAAGAGGTGGGGTGTAACTATATCCACCTCCTGTATAGTTAGTGGAAATCTGTCCTTGCAGCAAAGGAGATGTCCCTGATATCTCGAACCACGAGCCCGAGGGAGTTTGCATATCCGCCCAGCTAGTGGAAGATACCTCTCGTTTTACTCCTCCATAAGGAAATCTACTCTTACCCATGTTAAAAACCCAACTTTTGTTAGGGGAAGAACCTATCCCATTTTGGGAGTACGTAGTGTCTAAATGAGTTAACTCTGTGTGGACTTTGCTCGTGAAAGGAATCTGGCCAGTATCCACTGGAGATGATGTTACACGGCCTCCTCGACATAACTGGTTACACGGTGACGTCACTGTGGACCTCTGGTGGTTGAAGTCTTGGCGAGAGTGGCGGCTCTCTGAGAACCTAGCGACAAATGGATTGGGGGTTGTTTGAGAAATATTCTCCCAAGGATGAAAACTCTTGCCCACTGTGGCATCCATAAGAAGTGAAGAACTGTTGCTGGGGAGTTTGTTGCACCGTGCAGCTAGTATGGCAGGTGGCATCCCCCTAGTGAGAAAATAGAGAAAAACTATATATGTATTGAGATTGTCACTGAAGAAAAAAGGACAAAGCAGGTATGTATTTTAAACTAGTAGTTATCTAGCAGAAAGTAGATGTGGAAAAAATGATAAAAGCTTAGATTTTTCAGGTTTAAAACGACCCAATTAATATCAAAAATCAATCATAAGAAAACTAAAATATTATATATATATATATTATATTAAATATATATATAAAATGAATTAAAAAAGCATTTCAAAAAATAAGTAACTCTGCAGTAAAGATTAAGTTTTTTTTCATATGTCACTTTAGGCACTATTCCCCTCTTTTTATATTTTTCTTTACAAATAAACAGAGCTGTTCTTTCAGAAATAAAGACGTTTGTTATTGAAGGCTAGTTTCTAATAAATAACACATGATTGTCTTCTTGATTCCCAGCATTCTGTTCTATCTGTATCAGTATTATAAATGTTAATGGCATCTGATGTGCGCATGGGCTATAGAGCTAGGTCATTGAGTCAACAATTCAGATAATAGCCGTTAGCAAATCACCGCCACTTCCCGCCACAAGGTCTTTACCCAGCTGTGAACTGAATAACGAAATATTGACTATCACAGTCATAATGAGGCCACAGACGAAAGTGGAAAGATGTTAAACAGTATCTTGGTACGAACCTTGGACCTTCCGATACGCAGTCCGACACGTTAATCACAAGGCCACATATGACCTTTTCTAAGCGACGTTTTGACTTGCTACTGATCAATAACAGCTCATATTTATACCGAATAAATCCGTTGTGTTGATATTTGTAACTCTTAGAAGATACCATGCTTGACAAGTACGGGTAAAACACAATTGTGAGTTTGTTGATATTGTTACGTCTCTGTTTGTTAATTGATTTCCCGTAACTTCGTTCCGACGAAACTTAAGCGACACAAGTTCTTTCTTAAAAAAAACTGGTTTATTCTTTCCGAATATAACTTTACCGATACACTCAACTTCAACAGTCGCGCTAAACAAACGCTATAACAACGAACATGCTCAATAATAC